CCGTCGTCCACTACAATCTTTCTACTTGCACTCTTTTTACAGTTCCTCTCAACTTATGACACGCTATCTTCACTCCTTGACATCATCTTCCAGAGAAGTAATCTTTTGCAAAACATGGTGGCCCCTTCGAAAATTTCGGACCTTTGGTGAATAGAAAATTGTACTACGCTAGGCCTAAGCTCACGAGAAAGGATTTTAAATGATTTGATTGCAACTTTCCCTCATTCACACAGATGAAATGAAATGTGAAAAAATTTACTTCAGTATGAGATACATCAACAAATTGCTTTAAGATCCGCAAGCCTGTCACCCTTGCGATTCTCACTTTAGTAAATTTATTCAACAACAAAAATAAATAGAATAAAAAAGTAACTTTTACTTCATCCATCTTTAAATAAAAAAACGACTTTTACTTCATCCATCTTTAAATAAAAATTAAAATTGTTTTGTATAACAAAGGGAGGTGAGGTGAACTGCAATCATGGCTTTCGCTTCAGCATAAAGGGAGGATAAAATTAATGAATTTTTTGTTTCAGCTCAATGACTTGTAATAAACAGTTAACAGCACTAAAGAAATCATTACAAATAAAGAAGTCGTGAAAAAATTTTAATAATAACGCAACGAATGTAACATAAGTCATTCTCTTCCATTCTTCACATTGCAATGAATAGTCATAGTGACAATGATGATAGTGATGATAGTGATGATGATGATGATGATGATGATGACGATGACGATGACGATAGTGATGATGATAACGATAATAATTATCATTGTGTTACAAAGACGAAATGCCTGTGATGCCTTGGAAGATTGCATTACTTACTCTTTTGTTGTATTTATTTCTGGAAAAACGTATCAAATAGAGTCAAAATGAAACTAAAAATAAAATGGAAATTAAATCAAACTAGTGAATGATAAACGGTGGATAGGGAAAGCGAGAAGAAGCAAAATAACAATAAACTGCAGAAATGTGTTAATGCATACGTTTGTTTGCCTTTCAATAGACACACTTAGGAATTCTTGCAAATGTAATACGAAAGTAGGTAAGTTCTACAACGAATTTCTTTTCACCTATCACCCTTAAGGAATTTTAAAGTCTGCAAGAGACGTTTTCCTAATATGCACTCAATATTAAATGGGAAATATCTTTAAGAATCCTACAATATCCGATCATAACTACCCCTCCAGTTAAAGATCATTAATCGAGCAGTAGAGGGAGGAGAGGCAGGGAAGGGAAAGGAACCAAAACAGGCCATAAAAAGGGTAAATAATATAAATAAGAAAAAGTTCCTGAAGCTTACAAGTTTTTTGCAAAATCGATATGCCCAAAAATATGTTACATTTTTCCTTTTCTGAATACTCCTAAGAGTTAGGCCAGATTCAGAGTAATTTACAAGCTTTTTTCTCTTTTACGTTAAAATCGAATTTCCTAGGAAGCATTCTAGGGTTAATTTATACATATATTTTTTTTTTTGTTAATTGTTATTAATTTATATATGTTTTTCATTTATTTTATTATTTCAAGCAAATTGTTTTTAATTTTGTGATTACATTCTTTGTGGAAGGAATTCGAAATATCGATAGATTACAAATAACGCAAATCAGTTAATTCCTGACGACATCTATTTTCATCCGTCTCTTCATCTCCTTCTCATTCGTTTTGATGATTAGACGAACCTTAGTGAGGAGCACTTTTATGCGTTACAGATGATGCAATGAACATAATATACTTTTCTTTTGTAGAAAATTTTAAAATTCTAGAAATATCATGTCATTTGAATATTTTTGCATTACGTAGAAACAAGATGTATTTATATTGAATTTATATGAAAATGCTGCTGGCAATGTATGTCAGTAAATTGCATAAAATTCCTTGTAAATGTTTATGTTCCATTTTTTCTGCATTTCGTCTCACCAGCCCTTCTGCATTCTTTCATTGTTTTTCTCTCCCTCTCCTCCAGCTTTCCAGTTTCGATAACAAAGAAGAATTCAAATTACTTTTTTGCCATTGTATGGGTATTGTAATGCGTTGTAATGAATCATTTCAGCTGATAATTTTCAAGACAATACATTAAAATATATGTTAAAGCCAAAATTACATGCATATTCTGAGATATCCGACTAAAGTTTGTTTGTAAATGTATATATATATATATATATTTTTCGCATTTTTTATGAAAAATGAATTCATTATGCGAGGGTTACAACAATGGCTGTCTGATGCAAATGAAAATTCCCATAAATAAAATCACATAAGCATTGTGGGTCGTTTTTTAATTAAAGGACTAATTACAATAGTTAAGCGTATTATATGTTATGGCTTTTTACAACGAATATCAGGGTGAATGGGAAAACTTTTTCTATTAAAAATCCCACAAAAATGTCTTTTATAAAAAGCATAAGCATAAGATGAGCAAGCAAAATATATATATACATATACATATACATATATATATATATATATATATATATATATACATAAAATTATGCTTCAAAAGCTTTGCAGATTACGAGTTTCCTCTTGCTTAGAAGTTAATGCAAGTTGAGGGAAGGAGTAGGCGTAGGTTGATTCCGAAAAAAAATTCTATTGCGTTAATGAGTTCGCAAGATACTCAATTGTAATTTTTGGATAATTGAATTGAATACTTCACTCAATAAGATCATGGGACGCTTTAATAATACATGCTCACATAATAATAATGCTGTGCAATACCCATTGTTGATCCTTCACGATGATAAAGCTTTTCAAAATCTAGGCTCAGCTTACATAAGAATAAATGACAAAATAAAAATCTTTACTTATTTTTAGAAAATTACAAATGGACCAAAGTAAAGAAACCTTTGTAAAGACGTGGCCAGAATTTTCGTATTTGAACTTAAGAAAAAGCAAATATGTATTCAAAAACCGCGGTGAAGCCAAACCAGTTATGTGCTAAGGTAGATATTATAATCTTTCGAAGCTTAAGCGTATATAATGGGCGTGTCAACAAAACTTGTCATTTTAAACTTTGCACTGATTGTGAATTGTTAACAGATAGCTTCCATTGCGATAAGCTTTCTCAAATGACAACTAGAATATTCTTAGAAACACTCTCCTTATTTCCATTCATTGATTGCGTTCTACAAACAAAAAAAAACGAACAAAATCATGATGAAAATTGTCCTGAGGGATGAGATGTATTTTCATTAGAAAATAGAGGAGCAATTACTTCAACCACAGCGAGTGACAGTTTGATGCGTTTTTTAGACCAGCGACGCAACTGGCCCTCACTTTTTCGAAACTAGTGCTGAGTCGAATTTTGCAAATACATGAAAATGCAAATAATGTTAACTAAATTATGTTAATGCTACGGATATTTATTTTCAATAGGATTGGCACAAAACTCGCAAAACAATGACTCAGCTATGAGATTACTTTAAAGTGACCCCTTATGTCGAAGGATTCTCCATTGAAAAGTTTTTCTAAGAACAACTTAAACTTTTTTGGTAAACAAATTAATGTAACTTTAAATTTGCTGTGAAAGTGATTTTGAAAAATGTCTGTTAAATTTTTATATCCTACACTACTTATGGTACAAGGTATGGTATGCAACATCCAGGATAAATTGAATTAGTCCTATCTTTTATTATACCGATCAATTCAGAATCATTTTCTGAGTTGATCTAAGCGCGTCTATCTGTCTGTCCGTCTTCATTTCTTCTGCTTAAATATTGTAATTTTTAAAATATTTTGATGAAATTTGGTAAAGAAATATGTCTTGATCCAAGAATGAATGCTATTCGGATCGGAGTACCTTTTCAATCATCACTTATCATGCAACACCTTACTTTGAGTAGTCGTTATATGAATAACAGTAAGGTAGGGTAGAGTTGTCTCACTATAGTATTTTTGGTTGTTGATAAATTATTACACACACATCACTATCACAAAATTCTTATTTAATTTTTCAATTCGATGAAAAACTTTTACTCGACATTTGAAAGTTTTCCGATTCTTATGCAACAAACCTGTGATGTGCTAAACCTAGATAGCCCCCAAAAAAACGGAAGAGAGTTGGTAAGGCCTTTAAAAAAGTTTTTTTTTAAATTTTTATAAAAATTTTCAAAATTTATTTTTATAAATTTGCTAAATAAGGTTTTTTTTTGAAGAATTGTTATCTTTTATAAATTTTTAAAATAATTTTAAAAATTTTTAAGAATATAAAAAATTTTAAGACTTTGTTAATTTTTTAAACAATTTAAAAAGAATTTCTTGTTACAATTCTTTCTAATTTTTAAAAATTTAATAAAATTTTGATTTCGAGGCCTTCTTCCTAAATATTTCTCTTTATACAAAGAACGATTACATAAAGTACTTTTACTTACGTCTAACCTTTAAACAAACAGTTTTTTTTTTTTTGTTCTTTAAATGAATAAACCTCTCAAAAAGATTTTTCATTAACACAATCAATCCCAGAGAACTTGTTCACATTGTTTGAATCTTTTTTAAAGCAAAATGGCAGAAAAACACAATGATAGCAAACAATAAAAATATCTCACCACAAAGGCTATTACAAATCTACTTTCATAAGACTTGTGTCTAGTGCTGTCCTAGTATTTGCCTCTACTACTACTTCTGCTACTACTACTACTACTACTGTTACTACTACTATGACTACTGCTAGTAGTAGTAGTACTACAACTACAACTATTATCTCAAAAACACAATATTGCCTTGCCCTTGATGTAGGCTGACAGTGAGTGCCATCTAGGCTACTATTTCCGGTTATTGTGATGGTAATGATAAAGATGAAAAAAAAAAAAAGCTTAAAAACAAAAAAAAAAAAAAAAAAAAAACAAACCAGAAGCAGAATAAAGAAAAGTGAATAACTGAGAAATAAAACAAATGAAAAATTAAAGAAAAAAAAAAATCAATCAATGTCAAAAGTCTTCGACATATGATTGAAAATGTATGTAAATGACTTTTGCATGCTTAAAAATTATAAAACACATTTACCGGGTTCTGGTGTAGTTGAAGGTGATGTTGTCGTTTCTGTTTCCGTTTCGGCGGAAGTTTTATCCAAAAATCCCACAACAATCGCTAACAAACATAAAAACATCCAAATGGGTTTATGAGGTAAATGTTGCAAATGTTGAGATATACGTAGCAGTAACATTATTTATAAATTATTTTTATAATAATTTCTTTGAATTATTTCTTTTTTTTTTTTGGTTTTTTCGTTTCCTTTATTACTTTTTTAATTATATTATTTGTTGAGTTGTTCACGTACGTTTTCAGATTTTTATAACATTTTTGCTTAATTAAAAAAAATAAAATACAAGGACTTATTTAGAACTTTTTTTTTTGTTTTCTCTAACATATCTTTCCACATTTTTGTTGATACCCTACACTACATGTGATCAACTTACTGCGGACGTACGTAACAACCAGAAGGGCTTAAGATAAACCCCACTTTTATTATATCGATCAATTCAAAATCATTTTCTAAATCGATGTAAGCCTGTCTCTGCGTCTACGCGTATGTCCATCTGTCTGATGTCTGTCCATATATTTTTGTGTTCAAACTGCCGATGGCAATTTTTGAGATATTTTAATAAAAGTTGGTACACTGGCGTACATTGGCCCAAAGACAAACGCTATTGCAAATAATTCCAATTGGGTGACTTTTTCTTCTACTTCTGTTTATGGTAAATGTTGGTCGGTGTGAAAGCTTAGGAAAGGTCTGGGCAATTCAGTTCCTAAGGAAATCGAAACTTTAGGCGGCAAAAAGGCGAATTTCCAATATTTCATGGCGAAAATTGGCTCCTAATAGTAAATTGATAAAGAAATCCATCTTTGCGAATTTGGACCAAGTAGGTCTATCTTTTGGCCAAAAATTCCTTAGTGCGAATTTTTTTATGACAAAAATTCGTTTATGATATTAATTAAATAAAAAAATTAAGTGGACCTTATTGAAACCACATCGGTCTATTTCTTGGCCCTCTCTGTATAAGAAACCTCATAAGTGGTAAGCATTTCGGAAAAAGCGTTAATTTATAATATTTTATAATGAAAGTTAATTCATAGGCGCCTCTCAGCAAAACAATTAACGGCAGGAAATTTGGATCACATAGGTGTATTTTTTTGGACCCCAATATATGTAGGCGTTATCACGAAATGCAAATTATTATATGGAGCGAAAATCTAACGTTCAAATATACGGTAGATTTCATGAAAATTATGGCTTTGCATAAAAATAATGTGTACCCTCTGTGTGTGTACCTTACCAAAACAAGCGAATAGCTGTTCTAGGCAAATCGGTGTAGGGTATGTTATACCCGTTGTTGGCCGACTATAATGTTCTTACCTTTTTTTTTGCTTTAATATGAAAGACTGCGAATGCGTGTTTGTGTGTGCTGTTGGTTACATGGCAAACTTTGAAAAAAGTGAAAAATAACTAAAAGTAAAACTGAAAATTTTAACAATAACAAGAAAAACATAGGAGAGAACGAGAAGGAATAATCCGAAACCAACCGAAACATTCGCCACATAATAAAAGGAAAAGTATGCACAAAGACCTTATGGCACACTGGCAACTAATGCTATTGCCGTGCACAAAATACCACGACCCCCTTTTTTTTCTGTTCTTCGCTATCAACGAATTCTGGCAGTCAACGGAAGTGGCCAAGGAATTGCTAAGAGGTTAGCAGCGAACAACGACAAAAACAACAAACATCAACAGGGATAATAACTAAGCCAACAACCTTGCCGTTCGTCACCACAGCTTGGTATACAATAGAAATGGAAAAATTAAATTTAAATTTAATATTAAAATTTTAGAAATCTAAAATATTCCAATGAAAGACAAATAAGAACACTATAGTGCACTGCGGCCCACCAATAGGTATCGTACACCATCCTATCTAGTTATTCATATAACGATTTATTAACATAAGCACGTTAATCTGCAGCATTTCCATCAATGTTGGTCCAAAATACGTCGGTACACCAAATTTTATTAAATTATCTCAACAAATTCGATTCATTAGTTGAAAACAAGAAAATAAACCGGCCAGACGGACTTATAGACAGATGAGTTTAGATCGGTTCAGAAAGTGGTTTTGAATCGACTGATATGATAAAAGGTGGGTCTTCGTCAAGTCCTTCGGACTGTTACATACATCCTCATAAACTTAATATACCCTTCTAGCATAAGCGATGTAGGATATGAAGAGAAATTATCGAAACATTTCTGTAAGCACAACATCCTCGAAACTATCCAAAAACTTTTATTAAATAATTAAATTGTAAACAATTCTTTTTCTTAAGCCTAAACATATGCTTTAAAAAAGCATAACGTTCGAACGTTTCAAATTAGGCAATAACTGTCCATATATATCAAATTTGTCGAGTGTGAAGTTTTTAAATAATTCACAAGCACTTTTATGGACTTTGATTTTAAAGATCAATTGTTCTTTAAACTTTTTTTTTTTTAACTTTTTAAATGTTCTTCTCGCTTTAAAAGCTTTTTAAAGACTATCTATATGCACATGCATGTGTATGTATGTGTGTGTTTATAAATATTTTCATTAAAACATAAAACAAAAGAAAACCTTTCAATGATGTCACACTTTATTTATTTATTTTGTTTGTATTAATTTTGTTTTTTTTTTTTTTTTGTTCACTTCACGGCTTACGTCGCTTTCTCCGGTATTTTTCCCTTTTCTTAAGCTCGGTTCGCCGTTTAAACACGAACTAAAACTCTTTATAGAAAATCCTTGATATTTATACTATCCTGTCAATAAAAAGCTTTCGTCAAAAGCTTTTCAATATTCTCGTCAAGTCCTGCGCTTTCATGCGCTACGCTAAAATGAAAGTTTCCGAGCCTATATCATTCTCTTTGCAATCTCTTTCTCCCCTTAGGGAGAGTGATAGAGAGAGCGAGAAACGGAGAGAGACAACGATTTTAATTTGTTTTTATTATTACCGGCAAATGTTTGTTTTTCATATAAAGCAAAAAAAACAAACTTCTAGCGGCTTTTTTTTTCTTGATTTTCCGAGACGACACCATGTGCTTTGAAGTGTGTGTGTGCTATTATCTCTGCCAATTTTTTTCACGTGTCCTTGTAATTTTCACGTCATTTAAGGCGCCAGAATTTTTATTTATTTTGTTTTTATTTTTTTTTTTTTTTTAATTTACTTGAAAACTACCAAAAGCTTACACTTTGGCTGGAAAACAAAATACATTTAATATTTAAAATGTTGTGCAACGCGCCAAGTGCTTAAGGTCTGGGTGAATGATTTTTCTATCTCTGCGAACTGATTGCATATACTTTTAATCCTTCTATTTTTGACTTCAAAGGAAGAAAACTTTAAAAAATTGCGAAGTATTTACATATCCGGTGGAATAATTTGATTTCCTTTTCGAATAACTTTTTCGACTTTTTAACGTAAACAACAATATGTACGTATCTACATATCATACTGACTTAGAGGGAGATTGAGCAAACTATCAAATAAAAGGTCAAAAGACGTTGCTAATTACAAAAGAAGTCATATCTAAACAAAAAATAAAACTTGATGACTTGCATTACCCATTTAATAATCCCTTGAAAGTGATTCGAACTATAATGCATCTCGTCTTTGCGTCGTGTCTTACAGGACAAAAAAACACTCAAGGAAGGAGGGAAAAGAAAATTATTATGAATACATCTAAGATAAAAGAAAGAAAAAAAAGAAATTCTCTGTCCATGAAAAAAATTCGCTCAATGTTACGTAATTGACATCGCTTGCAGTGAAAGTACAGCTTAACTGGTAATCTTCGGTGACCGTACGATTACATTAAAAATTCTAAATTCATCGCATTAAATGGCTAAGACGAAGCAAGAGTAGACGAATAGGTGAGAATTGCAGCTACCAAGTAAGCGTTCCTCAGTCCCGATAAACTCTAAAAATTTCGTCCCAAGCTTTTAATAGCTTGATAGAAGCCAAACGTCCGCTTGACGGTTACCTTCATGAAGCTATACTCTAATCTGTTCTTGTTTTCGAAATGCTGATACGAAATGAACATAAACACTTTCCAAGGACATCCGTTAGACCATGAGAGGAGGTAGCAATCAATAGCCAAGCCATCAAGTTGCAATTTCCCAGCTGTAATTCGTTTGATGCCAGTATTCTTGTTAGAACACTTGGCAGTGTGCTCTAATTTTCAAGAAAAACAATTTTTTCGAGTAATGAATATTTTTCCCCACATTCTAAAGGGGCCTTAACCATTTTCTAAGCAAAAAAAAAAAACGATGTTTTGAAAAATGTACAGTGGTTTATCCCCTTTATTACTTCACAGAACCGCGGAAAAGAAATTTTCATTGAAAGCAAAATATGCAGAAGTATGCGATGTGTAAAAGCAAAAAAATAAAAACAAATAAATAAATAAATGAGAAAAATAAATGAATAAATAAATAAATAGAGATAAAATTCGTAACGTTTTACTAACAAAATTAAAATATACATTTTCAACGAAGTCTTTTCCTTCACCCCATTTATTGGAAAAGAAGCTACGCAGTTTCCCTTCCTTATTATAGTAGCATACCAAATGAATATTAAAAATTTTTAGGGGTTGAGATCTTTGTGAACTCATCTTTAGCATTCTGCAGCAACATTTTTCACGCTTGCTAATAAAATCCACTGCTTCGTGTTGTGCCTTCTCAGACATGAAAAACCGAAAGCAGCATTTCCAGGACATTTTACTTTTTCACTATCGAAATGATAAAGCGACTGTTGACGTAGCGAGTGCTGTACTCCTATTGTGGAAGGCCATTTAAAGCCAAACGGGTCAAAATGTAGCCATTAATTGAAGCATACCGAACTGCAGAACAACAACTCATGAAAGCGCTTAGAGGTTCAATTTGTAGAAATTGACCAGTCATGATGGCTTGCATTCCAAGCAAAAAATAAGCATCGAAATCACTTTCCGAACGATTCCGCTTAATACATGAGCTTGATATTTTACGATTAAAATAGATGGAGAGTGGTGTTAAGTGGAATAGAATAGGGTATTTATAGTTCATCTTGCCCGACTAACCATAACTTTACGACTTGTTATATCCTACACTGCTTGTGATACAAAGTTACATTAAGTTTGTGCAGATATATGGAATAAACAGAAAGGCTTGAGATAGGCCCACTTTCAGCAAATGAATAAATATCGAGCTAGGTTTGTCGGTCCATCTGTCCGTCTTGGTTTTTGTATTCT